ATAAATTCGCTTTCATTTCAGTTTAAGTTTTATTACAATTCTAATCATCACTTTTTAAAACAAACATTGGCAGTTTTCTTTTTGCGGGCACAAAGGTCCCAGTTTGCCAAAACTAGTTACCTGAACAAAGGAATAATGAAAATATTTCATCTCAATTTCAAATATTAGGTTCAATAAATAATAATCATGTTTTTAAAAAAAAAAAAAAAAAAAAAAGATAATTTCTGTTTAAATTTTAGGAATGAGGGTTATCACTTGGATTATTTTCTTCATCTTTGTTGTTGTCTTTCACAAATTATAAAAAGCCTGACTGAAGATTGGTAAATGATTTCGGATACAGGTATGTCAATGCAAGTAACTTGAACTGGATGTTTCATTTAATCTACAGAAGAAAATTAGTCTTGTTCCATAGTCCATGTCTAAGGATATCTCATGTTGTTCTTATTTAGTACTGCACAGTTATTAGTTGCCCTACCTAGCCCAGGGCTTGAACTTACAATTACTATGTTGCCAATGTTTTAATCCACTAGGCTGGGATATAAAGGAAGTGAAAACTGAGCAGTAATAAATAAGAATGAGAGATATATCTTTAAACTTGGACAGCAGAACAAGAAAAATCTACTTCTATAGATTAAATAAAGAGTTCATTTTGAAAGGTTACCTGGAATGAAAATCACCTGAAGAAGGCTGGAGAGCACACCAGCTGAAACATTGTGATAATGACAACAAAGATAAGGACATTAGCCTGGGTGCTAATGGAGTAAATATATAGAGATCTGTCTAAGGATAATCAAAATTAGATTCACACAAACTGAAAACATTTAAATGTAGTTCTCACATAAATACAATGACAAAAAATGAATTAATGTAAACAAAAAGAGAAAAAAATTATGAAAATACTTGCAAAGACAACATTAGAGAATAAATTACTAAGGTTTTCACCAATGCTCCCTCCCTCCCCCTTAGGGTGCAATTCAGATTCTTTAGAAAATTTCAATCCTTAACCTTTAGTGCTCGGCAATATCAATATATTGGATTCATTCTTTTTCAAGGCTTCAATTGCAGTATCCTTATTGTTAATTTCACTCAGTTGTTTTCTGTTGCCATAGCAGGATATGACAACACAACTATGAAATTCAAACACTATTGTTCAGGAATCAGTCACCTTCAGTGGCAGGATAAACTTTTTGTAGAGCAAATGAAGTCATATACAGAGTGATAAAAGTTAATGTAAGTCTCAAAATTTTTTGAAATATCTTATCTGAATAGCAAACAATTTCAATGATTTTAGAGTTGTTTTTATTTATACTATTTTGACCAGTCAATTTTCCGACTCATTAGGTGATATCCCCCCCCCCCACAGCTTCTCTTGGGCTGAGTCTAATTCCTGGGTTGTCAAACCTCTTTTGCATTCTATCCAGGTCATCATTAGCCTGTGAAAATTTTCCGGAAATAATTTTTTTTTATTCCTGGAATTGCTCAGAACTCTATTTGCCATTTCAGAAATGTGAAGAAAGCATTTTTGATTAGGAAAATGATTAAAAACAAAATTAAATCATGACTGACCAAAATTCAAAGAATTCTCTGCTACTCTCAGTAACTAATTTGACTCAGAATTTGGAGTCTTGATTTTGTCGTCCATCTTGATTTTTATCTTAAATCAATAAATTACATTAAAAAGGTTATAGAAATATATTTTAAGTATTTCTATAATAGTTGTAGAGAGTACTAGATTTATTGGTACATCTGAACTAGTGCATACTAAAATTAGGTAAAATGTGAAGTTAAAAAAAAAAAAAAAAAAAAAAAAAAGGGAGTGAAAAAAATTCCATTATATATGGGTGGTGGTGCAAAGAACCAATCAATAAAGGAAATCCCAAATTGTCTGGCCAGATCTGGAGGAATGAGTCAGAAAATTTTTTTTTTAGCATCTCTTATATCATCTAATCAGTCTCAAATAAGAAAAAAAATCCTGAATATTTTGCCTGATTTGGGATCAAATTTGGCCCCTTTTCTATGAATAAAGAAAAGTCTTGAAGATTTTGTTCAAATGAAGTCAAGTAAAGCTAATTTTTAATTCCAGAGCAAAAATACCTCATGAAATAATTCATATTTACTAAGATTTAGTAGATATCAGAAGATAAAAAAAATCCTTTAATCAATAATCCAATGTTTTTTATATTATATATATATATATATATATATATATATATATATATATATATGATCTGAAAAGAGTTTTTCAGATGAGTTCATTGAGCACAAACCCCCACATAGATTTTTCAGAGATTTCAGAATCCTGTGATTATTTAGATTAACATCATATATATATGCGTATATTTCTATATAGCAATTTCCATGGAACAAATTTTAAATTTTGTAAATACAAAAAGGAGAAAGCCAAATCAACAAATAAAGACTTGCACAAAATCCTGAAAAATCCTTTTGCTTGCATGAAACAATTCCTTTTAGTTATGTCACTGTAAGGAAAAATAAAACAAAAAAACTCCAGACTAAAACTTGTTCATAGATAATTTCCATTGAAAATATTCTTGGCTTTAGGCATTTTTTTTTTTGCTAAGTAGCTGGGCTTCCTTTAACTAAATTTCAAGTTCTCTAATTAAAAAATATTTTATCTTCACAAAAATGCATGTAACTTAAACATTGAAAATTAAAATGCCATCAAAATTTGTAAACATTCCAATAAAATTCATTTCAGAAATGTTTTCTTTGGCTAAAAATCAAAAATGGTTTTTCCTTCCAAAATGCAAAAAGTCAAGGAAAGATTATGCTTTTTACTTTCATATATATATATATATTATAAACATATTTGGTTCGTACATGCTTGAGTAGATATCCCTCATTTTTCTATTTTTTTTTTTTTTTTTTTTTTTAAAGAAAATGAAATTAATATCTACTGTCCTAGAAGTAGAAAGTCTTATTAAAGAAAATGTTACTAAGACTTTTTCCACCTCCAGTGATCTTATGCTAATATTAATTTCCAAGTTAAAAAAAAAAAAGATATCTACTCAAACATGTGTACCCATCAAATGTTTATACATAAAAAAAACTCATATAGTTCATAGTAATTAGAAATAATGTCAGATGTTAAAAAAAAAAAAAATTCATTAATTGCTTAAAATTATATAATTTTAAAGTCAATATCAATAGAAAATCCATAAATAAAATTGTAAATTTCATTAAATCTGTTTCTAACATTTTTTATGTGAAAATGAATTTTATTGATGTCAATATAAACCCAAATTTCAAAACTAATTTGAAATTTTCCACCTTTTTATTTTTTTTACATTTTTGTACCAAAGGAAATTATTTCTAATTTCACTTTTATCAGCGCTCAATATACAAAAACCTTCTTGCCAAAATTTAACTAAAAAGCCGACTTGGAATCGGCTTAAATATTTGAACTCAACACTGAAGTTCCACAAATGAACAATCGTAATTTCTAATTATTCCAAATGTAGGTTTTTAAATTTCTTTTGGGATCAATAAATCCTGTCAACATAAATTTTGTGCAGATTTAAAAGCAAACCAAATTTTTTAAAAGAAATCTAACTTGACTTTTTTGACAAGCTATCAAGTTCAAACTGTATAAAGACATTTTGAGAAAATATGTGATTAATAGTATAGTAGGACATTATTAATCTTGGTAGAGAGTTTACAAGAACATACAAGTTATTTTATTATACACACTGTTTGCCTGTTATGATAAACTCCCCAACTACAAAATAGTTGAATTATACTAGTGTTTGTAGTTTTTTATCTATTTTTTTTTTAAAAATAAATATATAGTTTTGAGCTAAAACAAAATATGAATGAACATAGAAATATTATTTTCAAAATTTACTAATCATAGAAACAGATATATATCATATAATAATATTTACCATTTATTTTCAATTTAAAAAAAAGCATACAAACAAGTTATTTAATGCATTTAAAGTTGAATTAGAAAATTCTTTAATTTCCTCTGGGATTAAACCAAATTTCCTTGATTATTATTTAAACACTTTTTTTTTTTTTTTTTTGCATTCTCCAAGGTTGACTGCAAACTTTTTTTTTTTTTTTACAGTAAACTATCTGTACAAATTAAATTAAGTAAAAATATTTTAGTGGTCAATGCAAAAAATATATTTAATAATATTTTTTTTTTTTTTCCTACTCCGAGGATCTGATGACTGATAACACTAAAAAAAATATTTAAATTATTTTTATGGTTTTCAAAATTTTATTATTATTATAAAATCCTTATGTTACATTCTTTTTACTTATATTTTACACATTTACATATTTGAAATATATTTTGCAAATTAGTTTTAGTTTACAAAGTTTTAAACATGAAGGAGTTGCTGATTGAGTAAACTGTGCATGAAGAAGCCCTACTGAAACACAAATTGTGAATCAATTCAGATATTTCTGTCTGAATTTCTGGGGTGAGGAGTTATTTACATTTTTATGGTCAGACTATTATCCTCATCTTTGTTGTTATCAAAGCATTCCAGCCATTGTGCCCTTTGGCCTTCTTTAAGTGTCTGTCAATCTAGGCGACCTTCAAGATGTTAGTTTTAAATTCCCTGAAGGTTACTCAGACTGACAGACACCTGAAGAAGGCCAGTGAGCACAATGACTGAAACGTTTTGGTAATAAATTTAGATGTATATTTAAATTTTACTTAAATATGGCTTTCTCCAATTTAAAGGAAAAATCAGTTTTATTTAAATCTTTTACATTTTTTTTTTCTTCTCAAAAAGAAAGTAAACATTTGGGGGTGAGAACACTTTATCTTTGGAATAGAAATGCAAATTAATTTTAGGCGAATGATTTCATTTGTTGCCAGTAAATTTGCGTGTGTCATCACTGAAAAGCTGTGTATTTTAGCTTGGTTTGCCAAATGGTATGATGGTATGATATGGCATTAGAATGGTATGGTGTGCTCTTGTGTGTGCTCCTACCTAATGTTTGGCCTGCATCACTGTTAACAGACTGAGGAGGGAGGAGCAGATGGGACGGGCAAAGTATCTCCATTACGCAAGAAACTGAGGAAAGTCATTTGCAAGTCTCGCCATGATCCTTCTTACTACGACGATTAGGTTCACTACAGCAAATCACATGACTATCTGGGAGGGTAGGTATATTCTCCACTCTTCATTTTTGTCTTACCTACCTTTTTAAATGGTAGTCTGAAATATTTCAAATTGATTTCTTGACAAATATATTAATCTATTTATTTTATTTTTCCATTTTAAATTAAAAAAAAAAAATTGAAAAAGTAAAAGAAAAAAAAGAAAATAATTATAAAAATTCATCACTTTTCTCCCAAATTTTAAGTTAAATTCAATTATTAATTTTTTAAGGGTCTTTCCATCTCATCCTTGCAAAAAAAAAAAAAAAAGTTTTCAATTTGCACAAGAATTTGTTGCCAAGCTTTTAACAAGTCTCAATGTCAGCACAAAATGAAATGCATGAATTGCAAGTGAACAGACAACACACTTGCACTGCTTTGTCACATGTTGAACAATAAGTGATACTTTAGCTTTCACACATGCCTTTCAATTCTGCACATTCTGACAGATCTGTAACAAGCTGAAGTGCTGGTTTTTAAAAATTAAAATCTAAATGACAGGTATGAAATAATTTACCTGACAATTGTAGGACAGAAAAAAAACAAAATTCATACACTTAACAAAACTGTGTATGTGTTTATATATACATATATCTAACAAGGATTGTTTTTATCTATAAATGTTTGAAGCAAAGCTGAGTTGATTTATTAAAACATTCTCAATTTTTATGTTTTAAAGAATTGTTGCTATATTAATTAATCATCATGAATTTCATTAAGCTTAATTTTTAACAATTTTCAAAATTGTTTTAAAAAATCAAGCTGATGAATATTTTCAGGAGTCATAATTGTTATAAATCCCAAAGAAACCAATTTTATGAAAACAAAATCAAGCAATTTAAGTTTCCACTTAAAATCTAAGGGAATAATTTTTCATTATCATCACTATTCACATTTTGCATGAGGGTTGATTGCTAAGTAAAGTCTCCTACGCTATCAGACAGTGAATAAAGAAATGTTTGAACCTGTATTTGGTAATAAAGTTCTGTTCAAATGTGTTTAGGGTACAGTGTTGGGAATAATATACATACTACTCATGACTGACAAAAAAAAAAAAATCCATGACTGATGATTGCTTTCTGTATAATTCAATACAGAAAGCAATCATCAGAGATGAATTGTTGTTTTTTTTTTTTTTTTTTGTTTGGTATTTTTTTTTTTAGTGTTAAAAAAAAAAAAAATCAAAATTTGCAAACAACGGAACCTAAGCATTTAATGTCTTTCCATATTAAGACCGTAAACATCTTTTTTATTGTATCATAACAACAGAAGTTGCTGAATTGCAATCAACAAACAAATTCATAATTGGCACTACAGATTTGATTTGGGGGCCATCAGACTTCTGCTTGTTCTCAAAATTAAAAGTAAAGTTGAAAGGTCAACATTGTAACTGATGCCTAAATTAAAGTTGTCATATGCATTTGAAATGCAAATAAACCAGAAGTTTTCTTCATGAATGAAAAGGTGGAAGTGCATTACTCAGTGGTGACCATTTGATTTTAAAGAGAAAAAAAAAAAAATTAACTTTATTTAATATCGATTCATTATTGTATATAGTAAAAAAAAATAAAAAAGTCTTGGCCTGATTTATTTATTTTTATGGCTTATCAACCTTTTACAGGTTATTTAAAGCCACAAATATTTTGGGAGATAACGATTTACTGATAAAAGTGCTATTAATTAGAAGAGAAGTGGGCATTCATGTATAAGTGAATATAACAAACCCAATAGGAATTAGAACTTTGCTCTCAGATTTCCAATTCCAAGTGGGTATCCATTACACCACCCATACATCCAAGCTTACAGCACTTGGCATTCCAAACTGGTTACTCATCTAAGTACTGACCAGACTTGATGTTGCTTAACTTTGATGGTCATTCAAGAATCAGTATTTCAACATGATATGGCCATAAGACTTGGAGACCATATTTATCAATTAAGCCCTGGAATTTTGAAGGGAAATAAATTTGCCTCGTATCTGATCTAAATCTAGTTTTATAGGTTTTGGAGACCTTACTTATCAATCAACACTTGTTTTCTGAATGATGTACTTTTAATCCATGTCAGATGTTCCGATTTGTAGATTAACAGTATATATTTTATAAGTATAGACCTTAATACCTGTGGTACAGTGTGCAGCAGAAATCCATTCGTCATAATGGTAAGACATTAGTTAGATGAAGACACCATTGCCACTAATGTCTTACCGTTATGTGGGAGGTATTTCTGCCAGATCATGTAGAATGACTTGTTTCTCATTAAAAAAAAAAAAAAATAATTGATAACCCCAAATCAAAAGGTGGACAATTTAGGTTAAACCCTAATTTGGTGAATGGAAAATTAAATAAACAAAGGTTCAGAAATTTTTTTTACGAGTTTTTGTGAATTTGCTCAGCCATCATAGAAGTATCAAAATGGCAAATACACAAAAACTCGTATAAAAAAAAAAAAAAAACTTTTTTTACGAGTTTTTGTGTATTTGCCATTTTGATACTTCCATGATGGCTGAGCAAAGTAAACACACAATAGGTCTTACAGATTGTTTAAAAAATATTTGATACTCTCCAATTATAGCAGTGGCTAAAGTTCTATAGCTTTTCCCCAGTCTAATTCACCAAGAGCTTTAAAAATAGTTTTTTTTTTTTTTTTAAATATCTTTTCAATGGTTATTAGTGACAAAATTTATTACTGACATATAATGCCTTTATATATTATACAGCAAGTGGTTGTTTGAGTAGAGTATCTGTTATCACCCCAAAATATTGCCATAACAGCTGGCTACTTTGTATGACATCATTACTGTCTTAAAATGAGTTTAGATAATAATAAAAAAAAAAAAAAAAAATTATTTTTAAACAGATGATTTTGTCAGAGGATTTAAAAACAATTACTTTTCAGAGATAATTTTTAGCTTTTAAATATTTGACCTTCACTTTCTACAGGATTTCTTTTACTCTTTTTTTAAGAGTCGTAAGTGGGGGTGGCTTTGGGTATAAAATAAAAATTCAACAGGTTTGAATCTGACAAGAGAGAGTAAAATCAACATGAAGGTATATCTGCCTTACAAGAGAGAATTATTGACTAAGTTCAATATATGCTGAGAAATAGGGGTTATAAATATTGCATTACAGGAATCTTCGAAATGGGAAGGGTTTACCTGCCTTAAAAAAAGCGTTTAAAATTTTGTATGGGCTCAAGCACTGGTCTCTACAAAGTGCAACTCGGCCTGAAGGCAGATTGTGTGTGTGTATATATATATATATATATATATATAATATAAAAAAAAATGTGAATGGTCAGTGAGAAGCATGTCTACCACTCTAACAAATTCTCTATACCAGACAGGAATGCATAATTTCAAAATATGGTCCTTATTCCATTATTGTAACTACCAGCCTGGAATGCTCTATTTCAAAATATGGTCCCTATCCGTCATTGTAACTACCAGTCAGGAATGCTTAATTTCAAAATATTGTTCTATACCTATTTTTTTTTTTTCTAAAATTAGCTGGACAAATTGAGTTCTCTTTCTTTTTTTTTTTGCATTCAGTCATGTATATTATGCCCCTATTATTATTGTTATGAGTACCACGCCCTTGTCCACCATGATATGCAAGTGTCCCTAATTTGATTCACTTTTTGTCATAACCAATTCTATTCTTAACTAGAAGTTTTCTCAATCCAAATGTCGAGATGTGCATCTTGATTTATTGACGTTCCTAGCAGTTTTATCTTTCCTCTTTCCTATCAGATTGGATATTTTCAAAAACAGAATAAGTGTAAATTTACATTTTTTTTTTTTTTTTTTTTTTTTCGAACATTGTATAATTCTTTGTTTCAGCCTGAAGGAGTTTTGTTTCGATGACTCTGGATCAATTTATGTTTCAGGCCAGATACAAAAAGAGGGGTGTCTTGTAAAGCAAGATAGAAAATCAAGCAGAATCGGCAGAATGGAACCTTCCCCGGAGTAGAAGTCTGTTTTCTCCTAATACTGTGTAGCTCTATCATAGCCACCCACCCGCTCGCCTCAGCAGTAAATATGTGACCAGTGCTGTCACTAAGTGCCTGTCTGTCTTGTGTGCCACATTGCTTCCTCAGATTTGGAATTTCTGAACAGCTTCTCTGCAGTTCTACAGAATGTACAATAATATAGAGATTTACTTACATATATTATTGCACATTTACAAGAATGGATCATTGTTGAAAAAGAAAGAAAGAAAAAAAAACACAAAAAAAAAAAAAGAAAAAAAAGAAAAACTTCTCACCATGAATGTGGCACTGTTTCCTTTCCAAAATCTCTTCAAGAATTGTAACACTCACGCTGATATCTTTGCCAGATGTCACAAGAATTCACAGCTGCTGTTCTCTTTTTAAAGCGAAAATGCAAAAATAGCAGAGATACAAGAAGCACTCAAGTCCATCAGAAATGAAAACTTTTCGACAGCAATGCACATCATTTCATTACGATGGCAAGAAACTGTAAATGGCTAAACATATTGAACTTTTTTTTATTCTAATGTTATAATTTATTTTTAATCAGTTATTTCCTTGTTATTTGAAATTTTTTTTAAAATTTAAAATTCTCAGTTTCTGTAATTGATGAGAAATTGTCTTTACACCCCTTCCCACCACTGTCAAATGAGGTATGTTACATTATTGGTGATTAAATCAAGCTTTATTTAAGTAGTGCTCTGAAGATCACATGAAAGCAAAATACAAATAAAGTGTTTTCCAACATTATCTTGCTTTTTTTTAATTTATTTTTGACAATAACGTTCATCCAGTATACAGTCCAAGAGCCACTCAAAGTAAAGGGCTACGGAGTTAGGGACACAGTTTATGACATGTTCAGCAGAGGAGGCGCATATTAAAAAAAAAAAAAAATCAAGTTACTTTTATCACTTCAAATTATTAATTTTATCATATCCAAGTATTTTACAATAAAAAAATAGAACTGATTACACAATATTTCAAGCTCAATTTAGGTTTATAGTTCATAGTCATGCAATGAGATGAGGTAACATAAACTGTAGATTTGTCTGCGGAATATCATTACATTATTGTTACATAATTATAGTGAAATCATTAAGGTTTTTTGTCAAAAGCATTTTATTGGTCGTATATTAATTTAAAATATTCCTTTTTTTTACAGGCTTTATTTTTGAAATGGAATAAAATCATTGTAAATTTCAGAATTTCACTATTGCCCATCAAAATGACTGGAAGAAAGCAATCTAAAAATAACAATGGAAAAGAGAGGTAACAAAGCATAAACGAAATAGCTCCAATTTGTTCAACTTAGGAAACTTAGCATTGCAGCCAAAGTATTCTAAAATGTTGCCAATAACAAAGGAGGAAATGAAAAATACCTAACAAATCAAATATAACATCAAAATTTATATTTTTATTTATGTAACTAAAACTAAATTTGATATTTCTTGTAATAAATTCTTAATAAATATTATTATTTTACGTAAATGTAAGGTAGTCTTACATTTACAATTCCTTATGGGGGGGGGGAGAACTGTGGAAAAAATGTTAATCAAAACTGCCTAAAACCTAAAAGCACATATTGCTGCAAAATTATCAAATGTTGAATATGCCCCTCCGCTGCCGAACACATCATATCTTAGGAAAGATATCAGTTGATCCTAGACTTGAACAGTTTAAGATTGTAGTGATTGGAGAAGCTACTTTGTGGAACCAACTCTCAAGAGGATGATTTTCCAATAATGGTCAACCAAGAGCCACTCGAGGTAGAGGGTTACAGAGATACAGTTTATATCTTTGGGGAAAATATCGGTTGATCTGAACAAGTTAAGATTACAGTGATCAGGGAAGCATCCTTTTGGGAGTCACTTCCACAAAGCAGCAGTTCATGGGTAGAAGCTGCTCGAGTAAAACTTACATCTGACTAATGGAATGCAAAGTGAATGATGGTAATTTGCTACAATGTGCATGTGGTGCGTCTTAGTTTTACCAGTTCTAACCTTCGCAGCTAAGCAATGTAGTTTGTCTTAACACCTATGGAAATAATGAGAGGCTTGCAATGTTTTGTCTATGGGGAAAGTGGTTGTATGGTAGAAAATAATTCATCACTAACAAGTCCATGTGGTTTTAACTCATATATATATTTTGATAAAGTACAAGGCGTACCTAATCCTGCAGGACAGTGAATAAAAAATAAATGCAAATTTTAAATTTGCTTACAGAATTAAATATGAATTATCTCAGCAACTTAATTAATAAATAATAAAGGGTCTTTAATCTTCTCTAAATTATTATAATTATTAAATTAATAATTTATAATATTAAATGGTTGAATTAACAATGTTTAAAAAGAAATTAAAAATAAAAAAATTATTTTGAACTGAAACACTTTAAGCATGGAAAGTTTGAGAACTGAGTAGAAACTTGCACATTCCATTATTTGTTTTTTTTTTTGTTTTTTTTTTTTACACAAGTAAAATATATTTATATCATACTTAACTTAAGTGTTATTATGATCTATAGATTTTAGTTTTACTGATAGTTTAAACTCAATAAATATTTATATCTTTTTATCATTAGTACCAGAAATGGAAAATTGTTTTAAACAGAAAAAAATTCCAAAGAATCATTTTTGAGATCGGAAATCTGGTTAAAAATTCTCCAGTTCTGATACCCAACAAAATTCCAATATTCTCAATTCCAATTCCTTATTCCATCACTATATATAAAACCAAGTATAGAATTGGTGCATACAGAATAAATTCCAATAACCAAAAAATACTATTCTTAAAAAGTGCTCAATACAGAGTAGAGCAAATATAATTTATTTGAAAATTATAATATAAATATGTTATAAAATCACTGCAAAATAGCCATTTTGTTTCAACACTTTTGGTCTCTTATCAAGTGATGGTGTTGAACAAAAACTGCCCAAGCCCCTACAACCATTGGTTGTGCTGGTCTTGGTGTGAGCACCAATCCCCCTCTCTGGTGCAATGTGAGGGTGCAGCCTCAGGCAGCTGTTCCCCGGAGCTGGGCACCTCTGTTTAATTTTCCTCAGTTGTGACTTTGTCCTTTGAAATTTGCAATTGTTAGTGAAGTGATTTCACCATTAATCACATTGACAATGCTACTTAATTCTTTGTATAAATTGTTTCTTTATGATATATATATATTTTCTTAGTAATTTCTTCTTCAGTTCTTCAACTGTTCTTTTAACTTTCATGGATGTCATGTCCTTTGGAAGCTTGTTTAGACCAAATTAATGGGCTTTTAGGCTTCCTCCATGTGAATAGGAGTTCACTTTTTAATAATAGGAGTTATATGTCACCGGGGGGGGGATCAGGATTTTAGAGATACTTAAATGGGGTGTGGCTAAAAAAAAAAAGATTGGGAACCTTTGGTCTCAAGCCAGAGTGTTGTGAAAACAACATGGAGTAAAATTAGAAATAAAATTTTAAAAAACACAAAAAAAGTTTTACAAAAAAAAAAAACTCAGAATATTTTCAATTTTTAATATCAAAGATCATTGAAAATAAAAAGTATACATTATGGTAATTTACAGGAAGCAAATTCATCAAAATTTGACATTTTTTTTTTCAACTTAGTGAAATAAAAAATGCCACATCAAAATATCTTACACCAAAACCTTTGAGCTTAAAATAGATTTTTCATAACAAAATTGAGCACTAAAAGATTAATTAATTAGTAAAGGAATTCTCTACCAGTTAATAAAAAAAAAAAAAAAAAAAAAAAGTCCAATTAATAGGTTTTATCAAAGAAATAGTTAAATGCTAATAAAATTATCCGGAAAGATTAGAAGAGAAAATGATCTTTCCAACGCAAGTCTTAAATTCTTTGAATGTAATTTCTGTTATCAATGCTTCAGGTTTTGCTTTTGTGTATTGAAGGTTTGGACATACCTTTTGAATATTTGTACAACAAAGACAGCAGAACCTTTTTTTTTTTTTTCAAGGAGGCTTCTTCAAGTCATTCTAATAATTCTTACGCAACTGTTTATTTTCTTGTTTTAATTGCCGGTTCTCAGCTACTAATTCCTTCACAATGGACAACTGCTGATTCAAATCATATCTTAATTCAGCCTAAAAACAGGAAACAAATAAAAAAAAAAATTGTTTTTTTCAAACAATTAATGGACAATAGCAAATATTCAATAGGTCAATATTTAAGCAATTACTATTAATTTGGGATAGTATTATAAGGGGGTAATAAATAGTAGACAAATGATCAAAATTTTCTCTTTTTGTTGAGTTGAAAACTTTTCAGCACTACCCTGTACTTTTTTTTTTTTAGTTGTTTTATATCATAACTTTACTCAAGATGTTAATCTAGAGAGCACAAGATCAGAGATAAAAGATAAGCTCTCAGTGAGATCTGAACCTATTCTTCTTTTGCTTGAGGAAGTTTGGTAAATACCCAGCTGCTTTACCCACTAATATTCATTAAGAATAAAAATGATACTGCTGTTCCCAATAGTGTATAAACAAATATGCTTGAGAGACAATGGAATGGAACGATGAGTTATAGGTTAGATTTGATCTTCTGCAAAGAAAATCAGCTGGATGTTCTCTTGAGGCAAAAGATAGCTTATTCTTTATTTCAGATCCTGTCATAGATGGCCTGAGCAAAGTTGCAATAAGAAAAAATTAAGATAAAAAGTAAACACAAATCAAAATCAATAATAATCATGGTTAACAATGCATCATCTCATATAATAAAAAATTATCAAATAAACAGCAATATTTTTAGGTTTATTTCTTTTCCTAATATAAACCTTAAAAATGCATCTTCATCATCAAGGCTAAATATGCCATTGCTTATTAAGCATACATATTATAGGAGAAATGGTGGAGTAACAGATACTGGCTCAGATTGAGAAATCAGGGAGCCAAGTTCAAATTCCAATAGAGTTCATAACATTCATTTACACACTAATACTCTTGGGAAAGGTATGAAATTGAATTTAAACCAGTCTGGAGAGGACTATGTTGCTCAGAAAAAACTACTGCTACTGCAACCATAGTACACTTGGTACCCCTATGACCTTAATGCGTTAAGGGTCTTGTGATGATTATTATAAAAATGTACTTTGATGCTTTTTCTTAAATTTAGATGAACAAATTTGACGTGCACTTTCAAAACCAGGAAATGTGTCAATTAGAATTCATAAAGTAATGAAAAGAATTCTAAATATATGTAAACAAAACATTTTAACTCTTTTACTACCATTATTTATCTCTGCAAATATTCCGATTTGTTGAAATGTAATTCTGATTAATGCAGTCATTTCCATCAAATCTAACAAGGCTACATAATCATTCTTATCATGGCTTGGAGGATGACGATTTTGGCAAGCTCCTTACACCTTTTTTAGAAGCGTGGGACAACTTTCTCAGGCTTTTGCTATTGAAGTTTTTAAAGTTAAATACATCATGTGGTATGATGCTTTAATTTAAGTATTTATATACATTGACCCACTGACATGGGACAATGGGAATAAAGTCCTGAACGCATATGGATCTTTCATCTAAGCAGATGATTGACCTGTTGCCCTTCTGGGAAAATAAACAAAAAAAACAAACAATGACCTGATAGTGTGACTGACTTGGGGTGACTGAAACTCAACTCATGGTACTACAATAATATTTATACTTTATTAATACTTAGTATAAGCTCTTGTGAAGAAGCTTTAAATAATTTGTAAAAGAAGGAAAAACATATAAAAATAGGTATCTCCAAAAATTTGTATACCTAAAGTTTAAATGTATTTTTCATAAAGGAAAAATCCTTTTTGAAGCTTTCCCCCAATTTTAATTGAAAGCTAAAGGATTAAATTTTCTAATTTCATTTAAAAAAAAAAAAAAAAAAATACTGTCGAGTATTTCAAATAGAAATTTGAATGATTTTTAGTTGATTCTTCCCAAAAACCAATCGAAATGGCCATTTTTAACTTTTTTAGAGAAATTTAACGGACGTAAAAAAAAAAAAAAAAAAAAATATTTTTACCAAGATTTTCTAAAAATAAAAATTTCAAAAATGAATTCATTCATTTTTGAATAAGTCCTGAAAGTTTCATTAAAATCAGACAATTATTTGATTTTTGCAAGAATTTCCAAATTAATGGTTTTTTTTTTTCGAAATGGATACACTAAAATGACCATTACCACAGTACAAAGTTAAGAAAAAAAAGAAGAAAAAAAAGAAAAAAAAAAGAAGGAAAAAAAAAAAAAGAAAAAAAAAAAAAATTTTTGATACAAATTTAGGTGGTGTTAGAAAGAAGGCAAAAATTTTTTAAAAATTTAAAAGAAAATTTTGTTCTTTTTCCTCTTAATAATAACAAACATTTTAACTTTGTTTTTATTAAGTTTGGGGCCTTTTATCATTATGGTGTACTGATTTTTAGCGAATTATTGGAGATACCTATATAAAAATAATTACACACACACACACATATATATATGTATATATATAAGTAAAAAATTATCCACACTTTTGCCATAACATATCTTTAAATTTGTCACACTGCCTTCTGCTCATGTGTGCTTATAGTTGGTACTATTGTGGTCACGTGATCGAAGTTTGAGTTTGATTGTGCCAGTTTTCTTCCTGCTGTTACTGTGTAAACATGTCCACTCCACTAGCAGTGTCCACCAAGGAGGAACAAAGAGCAGATTTGATTTCTCTGGTTGGAAGGTTTGAAATTCATCAGAGGCTTTTTAACAAATACGGTGACAGGCTGTGACAAGCAAGTTTACACTGGACAAGCATGACACACTAAGAAAGAGAACCTCCACCAGTTTCGAGAAGATTCAGTAAACTCAAGAGATGGTAATAGCAAACTGGTGAGTTATCATCTATAAGGTAGCATGTCCTCTGCTGATTTTGATTCACTGCTATTTGTTCCCCCTTGATGCACACTGCTAGTGGAATGGTCATGTTTACACTGTAACAGCAGCAAGAAAACTGGCACGATCAAACTCAAACTTCGATCACGTGACCATAACATTACCAACTATAAGTACACATAAGCAGAAAGCAGTGTGACAAACAAAGATTTGTTATGGTGAAAGTGTGGATAATTTTTTGACTTACCCTCATATGTACTATGAAAAATAACAGTGTATTGGTGGGATGGTTCAATCTGCCTACCTCTGACATGAGCCAGCAAAGTAAAATAGGAGGGCATTACTTTCAGAACAACCCATGTATAATTCCAACTGAAACTATTTTTTTTTTAAATCATTTCACCCCAAGCAAGGGGATAATGCCACTAGGATGTAGAGGATTAAAAGGCATGAAAGAGCATGAGAAGACTTTAGTGGGGAGAAATCAACAAATAAATGAACATGGTTCAGGGAGAGAGAAGATGGTGATTGATGTTTCATTTAAATTTTTGAAAATTGTAGGCAGCAGCAAAACAAGAAATCGGCAGAGAGTTCCACAGGTGGGAAGTGCAAGAAGAGAAACTGTTAAAATAGAAGTGGTAGTTGCATCTAGGCAGTTCAACAGTAAAATGGTGAGACCTAATTGCCAATCTAGTAGAATGCTTCAATTCATGATTTATTAAAAGCAGAAAATTTTGTTACCTGTTGTCGTTGAAACATATGAAGAATGTTCATTTGCATACAAAGGAAGTTATTATGAATTTGGTCGGTAAACTCTTCCATAGCATCTTGAACAACACTGTGCATTAATTTGAAAGAAAAAGCATTGGATGGAGCAACAGTTGATGACGACGATGATAGACCACTTGAGCTGTTTCCCAATGGATTCGCATTGGTTGGACTGGGATAAACCTGAAATGTAAATATAAATTTCTGACTTACACAACTTGGAATTCAGAATTCTAACAAAATAACAGATTTTTTTCAAAAATTTGTATTTCTTTCATACAAGAACTCAAATTATACAACATTCGTAAAAGCCTGAACATATAAAATCAAATCAAAAGTTCAATAATTCAAGAAAACAAATTTTTTTTTTTATATATTTAATGTGAAAAAAATTCCAGCATTTTTTTGGAAAACTAGAAACCAAATAACCAAAAGCTTTTGCACATAGTTAACAGATACAAATGTGTCCCAAGAACTATGAATTCGTATTTGAAGAAAACTGTCTTTTATCATTTACTAAGTTTTACCAAACCACAAACCGACTGCGATAAAAAGACAGACAAGATACCAAATATAGTATAACTGCTTTTGAAGACTGTGTACCCATATTGACATTGTACATTCGTTGGTATGCTTTGTGTTAATGTAAACTCCACCAACATCATGCCAATCAAATCATATTTTACAATAAACGGTATTGGGGAATTTATAACAAATAAATAAATATATCAAAATTAATTATATTAATAATTATAACAATTATAATTATCATTAATTAACTATTTCTAAACCAATGAGAATCGACCCCATTTTTCTCCTCTACATAAACAAACATGACTTTTTCACTACCAGACAAGCAGTTCACATGGATAGGACATTAACACGTGCATCAATGAAAATTTCATCTCTTTTTCCTTTTTCAGGCTATAACAGTAACATTTATCATTTAGCACTCAACAAAAATTTGAGGTAAGAAAACCCCAAGACACTTCTTGTATTTTCCAACTAAATTATTTGGACACTCATTACATACACCTATAGAAAAAAAAAAAACATATGAGAAAGAATGTATACATTTTACTTATTTTTTAATACTTCTGTTGTTTTCACATCTGGTTGTTTCTCATTTTTAGGAATATTTTTGTATATATAAATGTTAGGGGGTTTATAATTATTTACTCAGAGTTATGAACATACAAAGGAAAAGAGCTATAAAATGAAAAGCAGAAATACAATCCCTTTATTTTGTTAATAATATTAATAAAAAAAGACTTCTGTAAACTCATCTTAACAAGTGATTACAGGCAATAGAAATAGCAAAATAATTATGGAAAACAAATTAGTCTTGAAATGAGATTTAGAATTACTAAGATGCAAGTCCAAAATTAGTAAGCATTTATTTAGCAATACAGAGAAAGATTAAGTTACACCAACAGACACTGAGAGTTGATTAATGAACTTGTGTTCCAGCAATTGGAATGAAGCCTGCAAAGAATTCTAAGATTAAAAAACCGTAGGCAGAATATTTATTTTCCGTCTGATTCTAATATATTCTAGGCAAAGAATAAATAGGTCTTAAGAGTACACAATGGCTGACTGAGTGGAACAGTAGCTTTTTCATGAAAATCATTGAGAAGAAAAATTACCATTTTCAGGTAATTCATTTTATTCAACCAAATCATTTATAAAAGCCAGCCATTTTCCAAAGTTAACAGTTGCAGAATCCGTTAGGCAGAGTAAGCACCAAATTAGGCTGTGTTTAGACAAAGGAAAAAGTCATCAGAAGTGAAGATTTCCTTCTTCCCCACCAGCTACAAAAACATTATAGCAGCAGTTCCAGACAAGATAGTGTTCAAGCAACAGAAACAGAATCAGTTTTTAAAATCAACATGGCAGACTGACTGGTAGTGGTAGATCTACAATGAAATGAATGAAGCTTAAGCTTCAGGCCCTGAAGCAACTTTTTTTAATAGTGAATTTTTCAACAAAATTGATGATTTAAAAAGAAAAAAAGTGTTATTAAAATAAGGCAATTTTAATGAGTGAATCATAAGCCAATGGGTAGCTACTGTTGATCGTAGAATATCCTCTAATACCCATTTCATATAGCCTCAAAATTCCCCTTTAATTGGTCAAATTTCAAAATTTTCTTGGGGACTTGTAGCACCTGAATCCTGAGCTGAATGGGCTTATTGAGTTTGCCAGAATCTATTCACAGACTGGCAGGTGGATTTCCAAAAATATAGGTCAGCTACTGGCCAGTGTCCAGAAAAGGTGGGGAAGCTTTCATCTCTATACCATATTTTGGTGTCAGACATAAAAACAAAATAATATCTTCCTTAGAATTCAAAAAATCTGCATTCATTCCTCCAGAAGTTAGCTTAAAGACAAAAAAAATTTGTGTTGAGTTGAAAAACCAGAACTGATAACTGTTTAAATAGTTATTCTACACATATTTCTCTTTGGAATTGGTTCATTGTTTTTCTTACCCATCCGTAGCTTGGAACAGAACTACAAAACCTACTTTAAAAGGAAAAGAATGTGAAAAGGTGGGGAGTTGGTAGAGAAGTATTGATGGACAGAATTGCAGGCTTACAGCTTTCTCAGTACATATTTTACGTTTAACCAGAACATGAAACATTTATCTGATTAAAGGCATTCCTTCAGATTCTTCAAGATTATCAAAAGTACAAGGGAAAGTCAAAAATTATCTTTTCTTTAAAAAGAAATATACTCTATTAAAATTAACAGTGAAAATATTTTAAAATTGTAGTAAAATAAAATGTATTCTAACCTAAACATCCTTTAAATTTGTAGTTAAATAAAATAAAATGAATTCTAACCTAAACATATCTCTCAAAGTACTTCTGACACTAAAAAGAATCCAACAAAACACCTAAAGTAAAATAGAAACTAATAAGAAAAGCTAAAATATGTAAGCCAATAAATGACCCATGTCCTTTCTTCATACATGAGAATCTATATATTACTAGGTTTATATATAAAATATATATATATAAAAATTTTTTTACTGAACCAGAGAAATGAAATAGCTGTTTTTGCTGTCATTATCAAAAAATTTTCCTTAAATAATATTTTGAAAATTAAAAAAAAAAAAAAAAGTGACCTGGTAATATACATACTTATACTTGATATGGACAAATAATTTTATATACTGCAAGTAATTCTATTACATTTACTTGTTTTAAAAAGAAATATAGTCTATTAAAAATTAAAAGGAAAAATATTTTAAAATAGTAGTTAAATAAAACGTATTCCAACTTAAATATTCACCCAAAAATCTTTAAATATACAAATAGAAAAAATGCCGTAAGAATTTTTGCCGTTAACAATAAGATTTAAAAAAAACCAAAAAAAAAACCTGATGACATGAATTTACAGATGTCAGAATTCGTTGAAAAATACATCCCCACCCGTACCTAAACTTGACCCCTTTTTCAAACGTAACAAATAACTGATACAACAAACGTTAATAAAAATGAACACGCTACCACTCCTTGTCTGGATGATTGGATTTCTCTGTATCCTTGGTAACTGTAAATTATGAATTTCCCTTGTAGTTAAAACTCAGTAAATTTAAAAAATAAGTTACTCCAAAATTTGTTTGAGGATGAAATGGAACTAATGTTTTTAATTTAATTACAAAATTAAATTTAAAGTTTTTAGCTTCCATTTTTGAAACATGGTTATTACTGTGTAGCAAAAAAAAAAAAAAAAAAATATTTTAAATCAGTTAATTTATTATATATATATATATATATATATATATATAATCTAATTAAAGATACAATTTCCAGTGATTCATTTTTCTTAATCATTACACCTCAAGCAAGGCAATAAAGACATTAAGATGCAGAGGGTTAATGAGTGCGAAAGAATCAAAGAAAAAACACTATTGATTGTTGATTAGGAAACAGAAGATGACGACTGACATTGATATTTAAAAATTAAGATGCAATGTTGATTAGAAAGCAAAGCCAAAGAGTTTTTCATGCCAATGTATGAGAGAAGAAACTGTTAGCATAGAACTTATGGCTACATCTAGCAATTTCATACTGCTATTAAATTTGAGAAGTCAAGGTACCAAATAAGAAGGCTCATCAGGATAATTACCACAAAATACAACCAAAAACTCAAATAAAGAGAAAAAAAAAAAAACCTTACCTGCATTTGTGATGTTTTTACATTGGGATTTGGAACAGACTCCACAGACAAGGGAAGTTTTTCAAAATTTGTTTGAGGTTTGCTGCATGAACTGTTCTGTTTTGAAGACAATTCACTTGGTGATTTTGGGAGATATTTATCTGAAGTCGATAGCAATGGTGCTGTGTCTTGAGCATGCAAAGTCTTCAGTGAAATAGGAACAGATTTTTGCCCGCTTGAATCATTGGAATTATTTATTAGAAGTCTATCAGGAGATTGGCAAGGAGCAGTTGGAAGCTGAGGAGATTTAAGGCTCTTATAATTCTCTGCACCACCTTGGAGTAAACTAGTATCTTGAATATTTAACCTTCTGGTTGGAGATTTCTTCACTTCTTGCTCCTGGATTGTATACATATTTGATGTACAATGAAGTTTCTCTGGAATAAATGAGCAAATAGCATGGGTGAGAAGAAACAAAGATTTTTCAGGGAAGACACTAAACATGTAAAACCAAAATTCTACTGAAAGAGCTGCCATAAATCCAATACAAAAATATCAAATTCCTATATAAAATCTCTAAGCTGTTTCTGTCGAAGATTCAAGTAAAATGTCTATGAACACAGAATGATTTTTATTTTCAAAGTAGGGGAAATTTATTAACACAGTAGTGCAATAGAAAGAGCGGCACAACAGATTCCCTTATGGGAGTAACAGAACACAGAGTCAAATGAGCTCTAAATGATATTACTAGAATCTAAAGTATCTGGATAATAAAGTCTTTGAAGTCCTTTTACCAAAGGGGAACAATAATTGAAAATTTATGAGGTCAGGTGATACTTGGTCGGAAGTCAGATGTTTCCATCTTCAGCCTTATATAATCATTGTCCCAGTTAGAGTTAGGCAGAGAGAGTGGAGCTGTCCACCCAACAAGTCACGTCAGTAGCAGTTGCTCGGCAGAAGTAAGAAGAGGCGAAGCAACGTATGTACCACCTACCTACTATCAGAAAGAATATTAGGTCCAACTTGGAAGATCAGTGAATAACCAAATTTTCCCTTTTCACAGTCTTTATGCACATTGATGCAAGTGAAATCCAGTGTAGGGTTTGATTTGTTCACTTTGTGAAAAACTGAGGAGCCATATTGTAGTCACAGAAACATTTCAAAACATCCAAAATAGCATAAAAGCTAAAAATAATATAGATCATTGCCTAATGTGGGAAATTTGTCCTGGCTTTCTCACATGAAAAGTTTAAATGTGACAGAATTAATAAAAGCAACAACAGCTTGAAAGATTAGAGCGGACAATTCTCTCTTTTAGGTGGAAGAATAAAGACTCAAGCTCCTGCTTGGGGTGTAACAATAAAAGAAGAAAATGCTTATTTACATACACTAAAAAAGGTAAAGGGATATACACAAATATGAGAGAAAGAAAGGGAGAAGAAAATTCCTTTGATTTAAAGGAAGAAAAAATGTTCATATAAAGGCTTGCTCAAAATATTTCTCTGAGCACCTAAAAGTTCTTTAAGCAAGTAGATTTTGCTCAAGCGGTTAACACTTACATAGACTTCTTCAGAGATGTTGTTGAGGAAACTGTTGAAAGATCCGAATTTTGTAATCGAATTAGTTCGTAGGATGACGACAGGAATTTTCTAGATGCCAAGAAGCAGATCTCAATTACAATCTCTTTCTTGAAAGTGATTCTGAAGATGGCTGGTGTTCTATTGCTGACCTGATATTATCACAGACAGTGTCAAGTACTTACTACCAAAGAGATGCTTATTCTCCGTATTTATGGAGATTAGGAGGCTCAGAAATATCAGGAACTTTTCCCTCCAAAATTGCTATACAATTTCCTGGCCCTCTCATTCGTTAGAAAATATATTCTTATCTCTGATAAAAATCAAGGTTTTGGAAGCTGTTTTTTGGATGCAAGTGTCTGACAAGTTGTAAATGTTACTCCCAGACTTTATGGCACCATGGTCAGGGTAATGGTCAAATTCCTTTTTATCTTTTCCAACTCTCTCATTCATTAGAAAATATATTCTTAACTCTGATAAGGATCAAGACTTTGGGAGCCAGATTTGAAAGCAGGGGAAAAAGTTGGGGTAAGGATTAGAAAAGAAGCTAGAACAGGAACTTTTAAAACATTATAGTAATGATTCTCAAATTAAATTCCAATACTATTTGTTAATTTGCAATATAAAAACAAAAATTCTAAGCATTCAATATTAAATGATTAAAAGGAATATTCCATAGAAAGCAAGCAAATAAAAAACACTGATGATGATGATGATTTTTGTGGGATTTGAACCCAGGCATGTACTGGTGAAAACTGAACCAAATGATAAGGTGAAATTCAAAAGGTAGAGAACCACAATGGCAAACTTGCCACACATCAGAAATTAGTTTTCAATTTTATTAAAATGTCTGTTTTCTCAGCTATCTTATGGTAATGGTAATATTAGCTGTTACCATATAAGGAAACATTCATTAACTGGACAGCCAGTAATGTTTTCAGTTGAAATTTATAAAATCTTTCTCTTAAAACTTTTATTAGGAAAACAGTTTTTTTTTTTTTGTTGTTTTTTCTAAGTCCAGTAGCTTTGATTGCTATTTCCTGTATCGATGAGGAGCTCATTCTGAAACTTTTACTTAGTGTGGAATGTTAACATTATATCTTTATTTTCTCTTTAAGTTATATGCACCATTCATTTTAATTGCTGACAGTCCTTAAGTGATGTGGTTTTTGTTATTTGGTACAGTTATTATTTTGTGATTCTGTAGCGTCAGTCCAGAATGTTGAAAGAGGGATGATCAGTCTTCACTCAATCAAAGCCTTTTTTCACCATTGATCTTAGGAAGCGGTTGTATACAGCTGACACTTTAGATATTTCAGAACAGGTTTGACGCCATGCATGACATCCATATGAAAGTCTCAATCTTATGGTATGGAAAAAGTCTGGTTAGTTCACCTTTGTGGCATTCAAATTTTGCTAAAAACCTTGATAATGTCAAGCTCACCTCTGTAGCATATGTATTTTGCAATGAAACTTTATAGTCGTTTTAGCAAAAAAATTAATATTGATGAATATGCCTTTATGGCATATTATGCACATTGTAAGGAAGTGTAACTTTATAACCAGTTTACAGAAAACTTAACAAGTTCCTGACTGTTGGAGTACAATTCCACTCCATTAATGTCTAATAAAAGAGAAATAAATTCTACTAACACTACTACTAGTAACACCATTACAACTGAAGGCATATGTTATAATTAGTGTAGCTGATCTTCACTAAGTGCACACAATAATGAACTTGTGCCAGACTAAGGAAAGCTAAGAAATCAGCAAATATAAAAAACAATCATGAATAGAAAGCAAAAAAAATATATCAGTTTCTTAACCAAGTTTATTTTGATGTATTCTTGGATCACAGTGAAGACGATGTCAGATTCTTCAATTCCGGTAAAAATTGTTATCTGATTTTTGGCTCCTAGTGAAACTGCCGCCCCTATACCAGCCCCTGAAACTGTCTTCTTGCTTCCTGGCGAAACTACTGTCGGATTCTTGCCTCTTGCTAGAACTGCTGTTGGATTCTTGGCTGCTGGTGAACCTACCGTCAGATTCTTGGATCATGGTGAAATCACTGTTGGATACTTGCCTCCTGGTGAAACCACCATTGGATTCTTGGGTCCTGATGAGCCTGCTGTCACATTCTTGGATTCTAGTAAACCTACTGTTGAATTCTTGGAGTCTAATGAAAGTCTTCTTGGATTCTTTTGTGGTATCAGCAATTTTTTGAATTCTATTATTTTCCTGTAGAACTCAGGTAAGTAATTTAAAAAAAAAATTAAAATAATAATAAAATAAATTACATTCAGGGCAAACTACTTTGCAATGAGACAGGAAAAAAAACAAAGAAACAGGTATACCTTACCCTCATCAGTAAAATGGCCATAATTAGGACTTGACTGTTCCAAAAGAGCCTAATGAAAAGAAAAAAAATTAGATATTCACTCAGTAAATAGTCAGTTATTGAAAAGATAAACAATGAACTACCAGATTTAAGGCAAATTAACAAATATCTACCTGCTGGCCTTTACAGTAACAAAAAAATAAAAATAAAATAAAGGTCGAACATAAAAGAGTTGAGTGGATTTGAATATAAATGTTCTTTAGTCTTGTTGGGAATTTAATTGAACATTTGATTGGTTTTGTGGCTAAAGTATTACTGTATTTTCCAGATTACAAGATGCTACAGCTTGGAAGACGCACCCTAATATTGGAAAGAAATTTCTAAGAAAGAAAAATGTCATTTTTATACAATATTCACCATGCGTCCCTCACATACTGGCGCCACATATTGTTTACATTAATCACTCATCCAATTTTGTTTGTATGGCAATGACATACTAGTCAAGAACAGAAAGGCTCTCACTGCTGCTAGTAAACAGAGCCTGTTTAAGATTGTGGCTCAGTTCCAGGAATGTTTATAGTCTTGTAACTGCTAAGTACTGAGGTTACATCATATAAAAGGCTGAATTAGATAGACAGCTAACATTATAGTGTAATGACTCAACATACAAACTTCATATCCCTATCAGTCAAGCCAATTTGGTGACCGGCCAAGCTTACTTGAGCCTGGGTGTTGCCTTACATTCGTCTTGGAAGGCACACATGTATTTTTTTTAAGAAAAAAAACTACATCTTGTAAGCCAGAAAATACAGTATGTATTTCCCATCAACACTAATATTCAAACCAAGGAAATGATTCTAGGACTGATTTTCAATTCAGGCTCTCTTCAATTTGAAAGACTGGTGCAACACAATTGGTGTAACTCTGAGTGCTTCTGTGTCTCAGACTCAACAAAACTAAGTCAATTTTTAATTTGATTAGGAACATATTCAGAAGTCTTTGCCATTCTGCTCTTCAGGAGTCATGGCAGAGTAATGGATAGTGGCTTAGATTGATGAATCAGAGAGCTGGGTTCAAATTCCAGTTAAGTTCATTATATTCACTTATGTGTTAATACCCTTGGGAAAGGTACAAATCCATGTATTCTCCCCACCAACTACAAGTAAATAGCAGGACAGACAAGGTCCTATAGCCTTGATTGGCAACTAGCCTACAAGAAAGAAAACTAAATTTAAACCAGCTTGGAGGGGATTGCGCTCTGCCAGGCTATCTTGCCTAGGAAACACCACTGTTACTGCAGCTGCAGTACAGGTGGGGCTCCTGCAACCCTAATGGGTTACAAGTCTCTTGATTGGGATGTTCAATTATTGATTTCTTAAGCAAACTGCATTAAAATTAAAAAGGTTTGGTTTGGTTTATTTTGTTTTATGGCATATCAACCTCAATGGGTTATTTAATACAGACAAGATTTTTAGGCTAGGTTCGTTTGAATAGAATATATATTCTTTGTAAGGAATCATTTTGCAGATCAGGTTTCATTGACATATTTTTTGAAGAGGGTTTTTGTTGAGAGTCAAATGTATTGCTGGCATTTTTACTATAAAAACATATTTTTACACGTTTTTACTGTTTTGACCCCAGTTTGGGGGTTAACTATTTGCTGATAGCTGGGGCCCTAAAAGTTGCTACCACCCTGGGTCAGGGTGGATCTGGGAACAACAGCAATAAAGAGGTGGTTCCACACTCCTCAAAACACCCTGATCAGAGGCCTCATAGCTTATTGTCATATCCAGGATGAAAATTAAAAAGGAAATTGAAAACTATGCATTAAAAATCAGCTTTTTGCCAATTTCTTCATCAGGAAAGCACAATCAAAAAGCATTAGAGATTAACAAAACAGAAGTGTCATTATTGCAGAAAACTTACCGAATTTGTTATTCGACAAATTGACATATCCAAAATACCAGGTTCCTTAATAGATTTATAATGAGACTAGCATCTGAGAAGTGGGCAATTGAGATTCCACTTTGGTCTAAGCTGTTATCTGAATGACATATACTATTGTGCTGACTTTCAGGGGAGAAGAGACCATTTCCTGAAAAAGAGAAAGCAACAAACCAAAGGGGAAAAGACAAATGTTTCTTACATTCTGTACATCAGTGAATGACAGAAAATGATAAAAGAGATTTCCATGGCAGTTATCTGTTCAAAGTTGTTCATGTACAACTGAGTATTTTCTGTCTTCGATGAGAGAGAACTGCCAACAAGAATGTTTCAGTGACTGTCATAAATCAACAAAAATCTGCAATCAACTTTCAACTCATAATTCACATGCACAAAATGTTTGTGACAATTCTATGCAAAATTTTGTCTTTGTTTGCATTACAGGTGACTAATGATTTGAGCAAACAAAATTCCCAGACTTTTCTGGTCAAATTTTACAAAATTCACTGGTATTTATTTTTTTTAATTGTGTTAATCACTTCAAATCCTCATAGGCCATATTGTGTTGAAACACTGGTTCCTGTATGATCATCAAACCTGGTAACCACTTGGCAATGCTTGGATGTGTGGGTGGTGTAATGGATAATGGCACAGAATTGTTTATTGGAGAACTGAGTTTCAATTCCCATTAGGTTTGTTATATTCACTTTAAGTACAAATACACTTCATAAAAGTATGAATCCATCTCCTTTTCTCCCTCAGATATGGGTTAATTAGTAAGACATGTATCACTAAACCATTATTATCTCAAAAAATATAAATAAATAAATAAAAATTTTTACAATCTAAAAATATTTTCTAGCTTTAAATAACCTGCAAAAGGTTGATAAGTCATAAAGAAACAAATCAACCAATCACCATAATATTTGTGGACATCCTTTGACTTTGAGGATATTTTATGTATGATTTCTGGGAACTGACTGTAATTTCCGATCCATATAAAAATCAGACCGAAAGACAGACAGATATAGAATGCATAATCAGATAAAAATAAAGTGTTATAAGAAATAATATTGCATTGTCTTCATACAATCTTAAAAACTGCTACTGTTTTTTTAGTCCACCCCTACATGACTCAAAGTAAATTACTAATTTATGTAATAGGTGCTGATATACTGATGAATTCTATTTTAATTTTTTTTTCTTCATTCGATTAAATTATAAGTAATGACATAGTAAAAGATTAGTATTTATTGTATAAAAAAATTACAGGGTCTTTAACAGCAAGAAATTCCTTGACTTTTAGAAATTTGGAGGAACTTTTCTGACTTTTTACTGACCAATTTTATTCCCAGATTTTCAGGTTTCCCTAACCATTGGTCACTCTGGATTGAAATGTTGTAGATTCCATAACCTTAATATCAAACAGATCATGAGAATACAGAGAACATAATATATTTATGAAATTTATGCAAAGGGAAGTTTAGTTTTTTAAAAATTATAATAGCTATATTTAAAAAAAAAAATAATACAAACAAAATGGAAGTCTTTCAAATACATCAACAAAAAAGAAAAGCCTTCAAACTCATTCTCAGAACTCTTATCTTTTGTTAGGCTACAGTAGAGCTTTTCAAACTGATATGTCGTGATACTTTTGTGCAATTATCAAAACCCAAATTCAATTTTTTTGATTTCTTTTTATATATTAAGTTTTTTTCTACAGGGTTGTTCAAAAAGAAAATGCAGATTTTTAAAATTTAATAAAAACAAACATTAAAGGACAAAACACATTCAACACATTTCTGGATAGGAAAAAGGGTTCAAAGTTATTAAAATAAATTGATTTTTTTTTCAATCTTGTTTAAATGCTTCTTTTATTGTTTTTTTCTTAGATTTTGTATAAAATTTAATCTGTTATAATTTGTGTCAACTCCTAAAATGGCCACACCACAAGAAAAACTGTTTTGTGTACTGCAATTTGCGATGTGTAAATTGATTGTGCCAAGGCAACGTGAATTTTGTTGCCAATTACACTTGAGACATAGAATTGTGGAAGCTGTGAAGTCAATATCCACGGATAAATTGATTTGAGTGTGACAAGAAGTGGAATACCATTTCAATGTTTGTTGTGCAACACAGGGTGCTAATGTTGAGCGCATACAAGTTGAAGAACCTTAAAATAATAAACTTTGAACCTTTTTCCTATCCAGTAATGTGTTGAATGTGTTTCTTTCTCTTTGCATTTGGTTTTATTAAATTTTAGAAATCTGCTCTTTTTTAATAACCCTGTATGTTTGGCTTAAATAACAAAATTTATGTATCATGAAAATTTTATTTCTAAAATGTGTATTACCAATGCAAACCAGTTTGGAAAGATCTATAGTTCGCTCTTTTTTTTTTTTTTTTTTTTTTTTTTTTAAATCAGCATCAAGTAATTTTAGCCTGGCCAGGTCATATTTAGTAATTTCTCAAGTCTCGGTTTTATTTCATGTTTAGAATATAACCCTAATGAGAGTTAGAAATTTCAGCTATTTTCAGTAAATTGAGTGGGTAACATTAAGTCGTGGGTGGTGATAGCAGTTACAAGGTCCTTCTTTGGGAAGAGGATATATTAAGAGTATGTAAAATGCATAAGTTTATTCTGTTATTTTTAATACTCTATAAAGTTGCTTTAGAAAAATCTAATCCTCACTTCATACTTAAAATATGCTTAATTTCTGGCCTAATCTGATCTTTGTCATACTTATAAGCTTCATGTAAAAGATTTTAAAAAGAATGTAATCATTTTCAGAATGCAGAGATTTATATGCCTGTCAAATAGCAAAGTCACACAGAAAGACAAAATAATTTAATTATTTAATTTTTCAGAAAGTTAACCATTTATTTACTAGTTCCATATTTCATGTTTTATCTCTGTTTTGAAGAACTCTCTGTAAAACAAAGATATCTTATGAATTAATGTTTTGCAAGTCCAAAATATCAGAAACTAAGTGCTTATCATTTATAAATCACATTAGAAGGAAATACAGAAAATTTCAGTGAAAAGTTTTTTCCATTTCAATTGTAATTACAACTGAATTATTATTATACATCAGTTTTAGTATTTAAAAATTTTCAGATTAAAATCTGCACTTTGCCTCTGCTGTCATGCACATTTAAATCCCTATACTTGGATGATATTTAATAAAAGTATATTTCATATATGGGTTGACTTAATATTTGATATGTAAATTTGGTCTAAAATGTAAATTTATTCATGAGTGTTATTTATTTTTCAAAATTATTTTTTTTTTTTCATGATTTTCAATTTTATGAAAACATTGTCTTTACTATTAAATGTAAATAAAAATTAATAATAATGGCTGACAATGCTTCATCTAATAAAAATGAAGATGAAAGTAAATACTTATCAAAATTAATAATAATGGCTGACAATGGTTCATCTAATAAAAAATGAAGATGAAAGTAAATACTAGTCAAAATTAATAATAATGGCTGACAATGCTTCATCTAATAAAAATGAAGATGAAAGTAAATACTAAACAAAAAAATAATGGTCCTGGCCATCAATGCTTCATCTAATAAAAAATGAAAATGAAAGTAAATATTAATCAAAATTAAAAATAATGGCTGAAATTTTTCATCTAATAAAATAAATGATACTGTTCTTATTCAAGAGTATGTATTAAATTTGTTTTCATTATTTATTAAAAAACTTTCTTTTGGTAAGTTTCTACTAAATGTTAAATGCAAAGAACATTTCTGATATACAAATAAAATTTGTTGAGGCCAAATTGGGAAATTTCTCAAATCCTCTGATTTTCAAACCATCATCATTTTTCTAAATTTCTTGTAACGAAAAAAAAAAAAAAAAAATTTTTCTGAATTTTTTTTTTTTTTAACATCAAGAAATTATTTGAAAGCAAAACAGTAATATATAATAAATAATTATGACACATGCTGAAAAGTTCTTGGCTTAACCTATTTCCTAAAAGTATTATTCTGATAATTTGTCATTGAAATACTGATTTGGTGGGTTAAGGGCAGAGAACTTTTCAGTGTCCACAGAGTATTTAAAATTGTCCAAAATTTTAAATTTTAAAAAAATACATAAAAAAAATAAATTAGGCTAAATTAATGTGTATTTTTTTTTTTTACTGAAAGATATCTGTACATAATGAGAGATTTATTTTATATGAAGCTGAAAAATTTTTTCTATTTTGATTCCAAAGTAAAATTTTAAATCTTGAAAAATAATTTATTTTGTTGAAATTATTTATATTAGTTAAAAAATAAAATATTAATGCCATGTGTATTTTTCATTTTTTCTTTATTTTTTATCATTTTATATTTTGAAATATAGTGTCCAAATTTATTTTCCTCTTTTTTGATTAATTTTGCAAAAATTTTCGGCCAAAAATTGTGGTTTCAAAATGTTTAATATCCAATAAAATTTTTAGTTGTCCTTTTTTATTTTTATGTTTTTTTTTTTGTGGCTAGAAGAAAACTAGTCTTTTTTTATGTCAAATTTTTATATTTAAGAAACGGACATTTCAAACATTTTCAATGGCAAATATAATAATACATATTTGTATAACCTATATAAAAGTTACTTTATAGAATAATCAAACAAATGGTTGGTAATGAATGATAATACTTAGGACAAGAACAACACATATAAGATTTACCAAAGCGGCGTAGAAGAAGTAGTCAACTGCTAGAAGTGAGTCAAGTGAATTCCACAATGAATTTCCAACTGCAGGATATTTAACAACCGCCCCACGTATCAGATGTGGCATTGAAATAAGTGAATTTAATGTGGGGTATCCAAGCCTGTTTAAATTTTCCCCAAAAATTCCCTCCAGAACCCTATAAAAAAGTCAGGTAGCTGTTTCCTCAAAATGAGACTTTCAATCGACATAATAACTTGTCTGGGGATCCTCTCTGCCTCAATATTGTTAACTAGTTACACAGCTGGATTTAAATCTCCAACTGCAGACCAACATACA